AGCAGTCAGTATGGAGGGCTCAGGGCCTGGATGCTCTACTCCGCTTGAAGTGGAGCAGCGTCTGCATGTTGTTTACATCTGTGCCCCTTTGTAAATTTGTTCCATGTTGCCACACCACCTCATGTACTAAAAATGTCCAAGCACTTGTTACACTGCACTGTTGAGATCAAGGGCAAGTCTTAGATGTTCCATACAGATGCAATCTGCGTAGTAAATATTTTCCATCTTCAGATGCTTGCATCCCCAGAGATTCCATTCCACAGATGCAGAGCTGACAAGATTCTGTAGGCGTAGCAGAGCGTCATCCAGCCAATGAGAGACTGTGAGAGCAGGTGCGGTTTCCCTGAGTGAGCATATTGCTGTGGACCACCAGGCCTGCCTCTTCTTAGCCTGCCGGCCTATCAGGACTTCAAGACTTGCCCAGCCAGAACTCCAGTACGTGTAGTAAATTTTTCTAGTTGTTTCTCTATCACATCTTTCAACCTACCTACGTACCATCTATTTTTATTGTCACTCGCAAAGCTTGAACTCAGGGCCTGGGCACTGTACCTGAGCCTCTTTGTGCTCATGACTAGCACGCTACCATTGAGCCACAGCACCACTTCCGGTTTTCTAGTGGTTTATTGGAGATAAGACTCTCACAGACTTTCCTGCCTGGACTGGCTTTGAACCTCGATCCTCAGATCTCAGCCTCCTGAGTAGCTAGGATTATAGGCACGAGCCACTGGTGCCCAGCTACAACACCACTTTTTTGAGAGATTAGTTGGAGTTAAAACTTATCTCATGGGAACTTTTCTGCCTGGGCTGGCTTCAAAATGCAATTCTCAGATCTCAGCCTCCTGAATAGATACGATTACAGGGCGAGTCACTGGAGCCTGGCTCCATCTGTTTTTACCTTTGCACACATCATCTGTGGTAGGACCTTGGCAATGTTATCCCATACTTTACTCCTGTGTTGTCTGATCCCAGACACTGGGAGCCTCTTGGAGTTTCCCCTTTGGCCACGGTTTCAAGCACATCTGCCTGCCTTCCCTCCTCTCCCCTTCTCCTCCTCTGGAGGCCTAGGCCCAACTGTCCACCTCTGCTAGGTCTCAACGCTGTGATGGAGTCTGGCTCTGGTGCTCTATTACCCAGCGTAGCCACCGGAGTCTATCTTTGTCCAAACCACTCTCCACATTCCTCCCCCCACTTTCCTCCCTCTGAGGGACCCCTTTCTCTCTACAACCTGTTGAGACAGGGGGATGGCTGTCTCCCAGCCCCCTCCTCAGGTAAGCGTGGTCTGTCCTGTAGCACATGCATGGAGTGAGAGAATGCTGTTCAACTTCCAGGCTGTGCATCAAGAGGACCCTCTCCTTGCCCTTCTTCCACCTCAGAAGACCAGAGGGGCATGGGGACCCTTAAGGAGGGGAGCCCTCCAGTGGAGCCTGAGCTGAGTGCTACCTGGACTTCCATCTGGCTTATGATGCTAGGGTTTTACATCTTTAATAAATCTTGGCAGCAGGCCTGGGAAGTTGGCTCAGTGGTAGAGCGCTTGCCTTACATGCACGAGGCCCTGGGTTTGGTTCCTCAGTACCACATAAGCAGGAAAAAAAAAAGCTGGAAGTGGTGCTGTGGCTCAAGTGGTAGAGTGCTGGCCTTGAGCTGAAGAGCTGAGGGGCAGCGCCCAGGCCCAGAGTTCAGGCCCACGACCGGACCCCCCCCCCCCCCAAAAAAAAATAATAAATCTCAGCAGCAAAGTTGCCCTAAGCTTTTTCACTCCCGGTGCTCTGCCACTTGAGCCACAGCTCCACTTCTGGCATTTCTGGCAATTAGCTGGAGATAAGAGTCTCATACCTTCTTGCCAGGGCTGGCTTTGAATCACAAACTTCAGATCTCAGGCTCCTGAATAGCTAGGATTACAGACATTGAGGCACACTGGCACTCAACTAAAACATTTTTGTCATTTCATTAAAATATCACTTGTTAGCCAGGTGCCGGTGGCTCACACCTGTAAACTGAAGTGGTGCTGTGGCTCAAGTGGTAGAGCTGAAGCCTTGAGCTGAAGAGCTGAGGGACAGCACCCAGGCCCAGAGTTCAAGCCCCATGACCAACCAAAAAATATATATATCACTTGTTAAGGTCAAAACACTATAGAACATATTTCTCAATGGTTAGCCATTCTATTCATTGCTCTTACATTGAACATACAGAAAGTAGACTTCCATTTCAAGTCATTCATCAAAGTCCAATTCCTATCAATTTGCAATTACTTCTGATACCATGAGGCAGTAAAAGTTTGACAGAAAAATGTGAGTTTCCTGACTTTGATCTTGTGTTTGTGTGCTGATTCTTTCACAGTAGCAAAAGATATCCTAGGCTGAGGTCCGGTGCTATTGTTCTGTAGGTAAACAAGACTCATGTCTGTTTACATATTTTAAAATACTAGAGGTGACTTTATCAAGATGCACTGTGCTACAAGTTTAGAACTCACATTTCAGAGTGAGAGTGATGCCAATGCTTCTAGCCTGAATATTTAGAAAATTGCTGTTTGTAAGAAGAACAAAAAGAACTCATGAAGATACTGTGCAGGTGAGACCCGCATAGAAATGCTCCTCATAGGTATATCCACCCATTCCTCATCCAATCACCCATCCACCCACTCTAAATGGAGAAGCAGGATCCTCTCATGGAAAGGTGTATTCCTGTATTTATTTGAATTAAGAAATAAAATCCAATTTTTGTTCTGGAAGGAAATAAATTACAATAGCTCGATAGTATCTAGAGTTGACGCAGCCAATTGTATGTTTTGTATGAGTAAATACTAAAGTGCAGTAAAAGATATTATATGTTATTCTGAGAAAAAGATGCATTGTATTCATAAAGAAACACGTGGGAAGGCAGCTCAGGGGTGGAGCACTGCTCACCGGAGTGCACGAAGCCCTGAGTTCGATTCCTCAGCACCACATTAGCAGAAAAAGCGGGAAGCAGCACTGTGGCTCATGTAGTGGCACACCCGCCTTAAGCTGCAGAGCTGAGGGGCAGTGCCCAGGCCCAGCGCCCAGCTGCCCAGGCCCAGCTGCCCAGGGCCCAGCAACCAGCTACCCAGCGCCCAGGCCCAGCTGCCCAGGGCCCAGCTGCCCAGCGCCCACGCCCAGCTGCCCACGCCCAGCTGCCCAGCGCCCAGGCCCAGCTGCCCAGGCCCAGCTGCCCAGCGCCCAGGCCCAGCTGCCCAGGCCCAGCACCCAGGCCCAGCGCCCAGGCCCAGCTGCCCAGGGCCCAGCTGCCCAGCGCCCAGCTGCCCAGGCCCAGCGCCCAGGCCCAGCTGCCCAGGGCCCAGCTGCCCAGCACCCAGCTGCCCATGCCCAGCGCCCAGCTGCCCAGCGCCCAGGCCCAGCTGCCCACGGCCAGCGCCCAGGCCCAGCTGCCCAGCGCCCAGGCCCAGCTGCCCTCTCTCCCCGGGGTCACGGCTCACGGGCGGCCCTCGGCCCTGGCGGGCGTTCACGGTAGGTTAAGTCCCCGGACTGGGGCGAGATCTCGGCCTCCGGGATGAGCCGCCGGCGCCCCGCCCCCGCCGGCGCCCCGCCCCCCGCCGGCGCCCCGCCCCCGCCGGCGCCCCGCCCCCCGCCCCCGCCGGCGCCCCGCCCCCCCCCCGCCGGCGTCCCGCTCCCGCCGGCGCCCCGCCCCCCCCCCCCGCCGGCGCCCCGCCCCACCCCGCCGGCGTCCCGCCCCCGCCGGCGCCCCGCCCCCCCCCGCCGGCGCCCCGCCCCCCCCCCCCGCCGGCGCCCCCGCCCCCCGCCGGCGCCCCGCCCCCGCCGGCGCCCCGCCCCCCCGCCTCCCGCCGCGCCGCCCCGCCCCCCCCCGCCCCCCCCCCCCGCCGGCGCCCCGCCCCCCCGCCTCCGGCCGCGCCGCCCCGCCCCCCCGCCCCCCCCCCCGCCGGCGCCCCGCCCCCCGCCGGCGCCCCGCCCCCGCCGGCGCCCCGCCCCCCCGCCTCCGGCCGCGCCGCCCCGCCCCCCGCCCCCCCCCCCGCCGGCGCCCCGCCCCCCGCCTCCGGCCGCGCCGCCCCGCCCCCCGCCCCCCCCCCCGCCGGCGCCCCGCCCCCCGCCGGCGCCCCGCCCCCGCCGGCGCCCCGCCCCCCGCCTCCGGCCGCGCCGCCCCGCCCCCCGCCCCCCCCCCCGCCGGCGCCCCGCCCCCCGCCTCCGGCCGCGCCGCCCCGCCCCCCGCCCCCCCCCCGCCGGCGCCCCGCCCCCCGCCGGCGCCCCGCCCCCGCCGGCGCCCCGCCCCCCGCCTCCGGCCGCGCCGCCCCGCCCCCCGCCCCCCCCCCCGCCGGCGCCCCGCCCCCCGCCTCCGGCCGCGCCGCCCCGCCCCCGCCCCCCCCCGCCGCCGGCGCCCCGCCTCCCGCCTCCGGCCGCGCCGCCCCGCCCCCCGCCCCCCCCCCCGCCGGCGCCCCGCCCCCCGCCTCCGGCCGCGCCGCCCCGCCCCCCGCCCCCCCCCCCGCCGGCGCCCCGCCCCCCCGCCTCCGGCCGCGCCGCCCCGCCCCCCGCCCCCCCCCCGCCGGCGCCCCGCCCCCCGCCTCCGGCCGCGCCCCCCCCCCCCGCCTCCGGCCGCGCCCCGCCCCCCCCCTCGCCTCCGGCCGCGCCCCCCCCCCCCCGCCTCCGGCCGCGCCCCCCCCCCCCCCCGCCTCCGGCCGCGCCCCGCCCCCCCCCCCGCCTCCGGCCGCGCCGCCCCGCCCCCCGCCTCCGGCCGCGCCGCCCCGCCCCCCGCCTCCGGCCGCGCCCCCCCCCCCCCCCCCCGGCCGCGCCGCCTCCGGGCTGCCGGGCAGGTCACGAGGAAGCAGGAGCCCGCGCGGCCTCCCGGCGTGCCTCGCGCCGTCGTCCCGGCAGGCCTCGCGCCGTCCTCCCGGCAGGCGCCGGGCGCTCCGACGCACGCACGCCGGGCGTCGTGGTCCTGGCGGAGGCGACGCGGCCGCCGCTGTGCGTGGCAGGAAGCGGAAGCGGAAGCGGCGCGCTCGCCCCGCCCCGCCGCGCCGCGCCGCTCGCCGCCCGGCTAGCACTGACGTGTCGCTCGGGCCGCGGAGCCTGTGTCGCCGGGCAGAGGAGCGGAGCGGGACGCCGGGACCTCGCAGCCTCCGCCATGGCGAGTGAGTCCGGCGGGCCCGACGCGCCCGCGATCCGGAGCCCGCGAGGCGGGGGTCCGGGTCCCGCCCGGCCCCAGCCCGGCCTGCTCCCCGCCCGCCCGGCCCCAGCCCGGCCTGCTCCCCGCCCGCCCGGCCCCAGCCCGGCCTGCTCCCCGCCCGGCCCCGGCCCCCAGCCCGGCCTGCTCCCCGCCCGCCCGGCCCCAGCCCGGCCTGCTCCCCGCCCGGCCCCCAGCCCCCAGCCCGGCCTGCTCCCCGCCCGCCCGGCCCCCAGCCCGGCCTGCTCCCCGCCCGCCCGGCCCCCAGCCCGGCCTGCTCCCCGTCCGGCCCCGGCCCGGCCTGCTCCCCGCCCGGCCCCCAGCCCGGCCTGCTCCCCGCCCGCCCGGCCCCCCAGCCCGGCCTGCTCCCCGCCCGGCCCCGGCCCCAGCCCGGCCTGCTCCCCGCCCGGCCCCCAGCCCGGCCTGCTCCCCGCCCGGCCCCGGCCCCCAGCCCGGCCTGCTCCCCGCCCGGCCCCAGCCCGGCCTGCTCCCCGCCCGCCCGGCCCCCAGCCCGGCCTGCTCCCCGCCCGCCCGGCCCCCAGCCCGGCCTGCTCCCCGCCCGGCCCCCAGCCCGGCCTGCTCCCCGCCCGCCCGGCCCCCAGCCCGGCCTGCTCCCCGCCCGCCCGGCCCCCAGCCCGGCCTGCTCCCCGCCCGGCCCCGGCCCCCAGCCCGGCCTGCTCCCCGCCCGCCCGGCCCCCAGCCCGGCCTGCTCCCCGCCCGCCCGGCCCCCAGCCCCAGCCCGGCCTGCTCCCCGCCCGGCCGGCCCCCAGCCCGGCCTGCTCCCCGCCCGCCCGGCCCCCAGCCCGGCCTGCTCCCCGCCCGCCCGGCCCCCCGCCCGGCGCCCAGCCCGGCCTGCTCCCCGCCCGGCCCCGGCCCCCAGCCCGGCCTGCTCCCCGCCCGCCCGGCCCCCAGCCCGGCCTGCTCCCCGCCCGCCCGGCCCCCAGCCCGGCCTGCTCCCCGCCCGCCCGGCCCCCCGCCCGGCGCCCAGCCCGGCCTGCTCCCCGCCGGCCCCGGCCCCCAGCCCGGCCTGCTCCCCGCCCGCCCGGCCCCCAGCCCGGCCTGCTCCCCGCCCGCCCGGCCCCCAGCCCGCCTGCTCCCCGCCCGCCCGGCCCCCCGCCCGGCGCCCAGCCCGGCCCCAGCCCGGCCTGCTCCCCGCCCCGCCCGGCCCCAGCCCGGCCTGCTCCCCGCCGGACCCCGGCGCCCCCTCGGGCTCCCCGCCCGGCCCCGGCCTGCTCCCCGCTCGATCCCGGCCCCCCTCGGGTTCCCCGACCCCCAGGCCAGGCCCCGGCCCCTCTCGGGCTCCCAGGCCCCCAGGCCCGGCCTGCCTCCCCGCCGGGCCCCGGCCCCCTCGGGTTCCCCGGCTCCCCTGTAGGCCACAGGTTTCAGAGACTAACTCCCCTTCTTTTGTTTCTCCATCAAAGTCAAATTTCTGGAAGTCATCAAGCCCTTCTGTGTCATCCTGCCGGAGATACAGAAACCGGAGAGGAAGGTAAGCCTAAGGAAACGGCAGTGAACACCCCAAACGGAAGCTTCCTGTCTCCCCCACCTGCAGTGTGTGTACCTGGTTGTTTTTCGTCCCTCCCCTCGTTTGGGATGTCTTTTCTGGCTGGATGTCGTGCCTCACGTTTGTCCTGCCCCAGAAATGGACGTGGGTGGTGAGTGGGCTGCTCAGCCAGGATCCCGGTGGGGTGACCACCCTCCCACCGCCCGCAGGGAGTATCAGCCACCAGAGGGACGGCAGCTGCTTGGTAGGTAGCTGGTCGCGGTCCTCAAGTCTGCTGCAATGTTCAGCAGGTACACCAACACTAGAAAAGCAGCGCTGTGTTGAGTATCCATTTCTGGGACTGCTCTGCTGCAGACTGGGTGTTGTCAAGGCAAGGGATGCTAAGGAAGTTTTAATTAGCTCAGATTTCCGGTGTCAGACGATTGTTCATGTGTTCACATGTTTGTGTGTGGTTAACATCCACACAGAAACTTAGACTCAACTTTCAGTTTTTACTTAAAATGGTTTGAAATAAACACTTGAGATGCAGTCTGCCTGTGACAGTGAAGTCTACAGTGCTGCTAGTCCTGTTGGTTCAGCGGCTTCAGAGCCCACATGACTGGGCTCCATCCTCTGTACTGCTCACAATAGCTGTGTGTCCTTGGTCTCTGTAGCAGAAGTGAACAAGGAAGACAGGTGCAAGATCCAGCAGCGGCTCGGGAAGGAATTCAGTCTGGGAGCAGTGATGTTCGATGGTGGTTTTGAAGGAGAAAGATGTTTAGAGTATGAGAATGCATTCCTGGCAAAGGCAGAGAAGACAGGGGCCCAAGTGAGTGGGACGTGTAGTTTGCATCCGTGGAACGTAACGGTACAGATGAGTGGAAAAGGGACAGACAGTTTAGAAAATGGCTTTGGAAATAAAAGTGTTCCGTTGACTTTTGCCAGAGTGGGTAAGCACCCATAGTACTGAGCCAAGGTAGATTTAGAGACTTTTTTGGAGGCAGAGACAGGACTTGGGAAAGAGCTTTTCAAGATTTATTGTTAAACTTGGTTGTAGTCAGGAGACCGAGTCATTCAAAAATGAAGTCTTGAAAACTTAGTCTTATGTGGCTCAGTGGCGGAGTGTGTGAGGCTCTGAGTTCAATTCCAGCACAACAAAGGGAAAAAGTGTTAATTTTGCCACAAGCTTGTCATGGCTCATTTGAAATGGCGTACCTTCCCTGGCCACCTTCTAAGGAAGAAGAGTTCTTAGGAAAGAGGGAACTCTTCCCAGTCAGTGCTTGAGCACAGCTGTGTGCCGATGCGTCCTGCCTAGGGCACATCACGGCTCACGCACACGGCTCACGCACAGGACGTAGCTTCTGACCCGAGAGCTCGGGGCTCCAACAGCGCGCAGTTCTGCCACAGAACCCCGGGGCACAGTACTGCTCGTCCTTGAGCTCGCCAGGGCTGGCAGAAGACAAGAGTTTTCCTACCGCTCTGTGACAGGCCTTGGGCAGGAGAGTGTGATCCCTGACAGGCTGTAAAATCATTCTTGTCCTCTGTTTGACTTACGCATCTGAGAAGAGGTGACGTTCTTGAAGCTAAGCAGGTGGTACTCATGTACAGCAAGCAGGCTACAGCTCTTCCTGCCCTCCCCTAGTGCTGTGGCACTCTTTTACCTTTGAGTCATAGAAAACACAGTATTGGTCAGTCCCAGATTCTTAAGTCATGGTTGCTTACCAAGTCATCACATGAGAAGTGATCGCTGTGTGTCTTGAAGGCTGTGTGTTGTACAAGTGACTTTCTGTGGCATCAGTCTTGCTGGTGTTTCTGCTTGGACCCTCTGGCTGAGGGCTCGGGGCAGCTCGCTTAGCCTTCCCCAAGCCAGCTTGCCGTGGTCGCGGGTGATGATACTGCGGCAGACGGCGTTGCTGTCCGGTACTGCTCTGTGCGTTGCTTGGCTTCTCTGGTGAATGGGAATGGGGTTCATCTTGACTCTCTGTGTAGTCATTTACTCATGAAAAATAACTTCTTTCCCTTGTGTAGATCCAGTTCAAGGAGAAAGTGCTGTGGACAGCCATCACCCTCTTTATCTTCCTAGTGTGCTGTCAGGTGAGCCCCGTTGCCTTGCTTGGTGTGGGGAGGTGGGGGGGGGAGGACAGTGTGCTGACCCCAGTCCCCCTCCCTGCTCTCCAGATTCCCCTGTTTGGTATCATGTCTTCAGACTCCGCCGACCCTTTCTATTGGATGAGAGTGATTCTGGCCTCTAACCGAGGTAGGTCCCATCTCGCTCTGTCTTCTCCGCACACTGGACTTGAATAGCCTCGTTTTCTTTAATGATGGGCTTTGGCTTTGTGTGGAACTCCAGCAGTTTTTGTAGCTTGTGTAGCCTGGAAGTGCGGGAGATGCAGGCAGGTCAGCATACCGTGGGAATGGCTTATCTCTACGTTGCTCATCGCATTTGGAACTGGGTCTGGATGCGATACAAAACCTGTGATAACAGTACAGGTCCACATCATTGAGAACTTTGAAAGCATGGAAAAATACCTGAAATTAGGACATGTCCATTGATAACATTCTTTGCGATATAAATTGTTTCTCAACTGCATCTTCTTATCTGTAGGTTATATATGTATGTCAGAAAACACGTCACAGTTTTGCAAAACCATTTACCTGTGAGAGGATTTTGAATGTGCATTTTGATACTGCATTTGATTGACTCATTTTAAAAAATAGAGTTCAAATTAAGTTTCACATCAGAAATGTGACTCATTTGAGCATATGCACAATAGAAGTAGGAGTTTGTTTACAACTCGACACAATTGTGCTGACCCTCTTCCCAGACTTTCCAGAGATGATTTGAATGTTGTCCTTGCTTATTAACTGATGGAGAGAAGCACCTTTCTTATCACTGAAACCAGAATAGATCTGTTTCTGGTGCATTTAAATGCCACCGTCTGTTCTTGATGCTTGTCTTCCTAAACAGAAGAGAATGCTACCTGGCGGGCTGAATGGAATGAATGAAGTTGTATTTTCATGGCTGATAGGATAGGGGTGCTCTGTAAATTAAATGCTACTAGCACGCCGAAGCGCATAGGAGTTGAGGGGGATGCGGCTCATTTTTTAGCAGCAGTGCCTGGCTTTTCCCAGGCTGGCATTAACTTGAGAACCCCCCCCCTCCCCAGGCACGCTGATGGAGCTGGGCATCTCTCCCATTGTCACCTCCGGCCTCATTATGCAGCTCCTGGCTGGCGCCAAGATAATCGAAGTTGGCGACACCCCAAAAGACAGAGCCCTCTTCAATGGAGCCCAAAAGTGTAAGAAAGACTGGATAACACTCGATGTCTATATTGAAATTCTGAATTTGCTTTAAAGTTTGGGGACATTACAGCAGTTGTGCTTTCTGCTCCTCGCATCCTTGGCTGCCGGCTCTGGGGTGCTCTGTGGCTGTTACAGGTGTGGGGGTCAGCTAGGCAGGGGTGTGGGGCACAGGGCTCGGAGGCCGTCCTTCTCAGGAGGAGGTGGCGCTGCTGCAGGACAGGCACCGGGGCTCTCCAGGAGCCTGGCACGGAGGAGCTACTTGGCAGGGCTGCTTTCCCTCTGTTGAAAGGCCTAGCAGGAAAGGTGAGAGCACTGTTGGGAAACTTGTTTTTCCCTGGTAACATGGGAGGAACAGGACCTGCTGAGCAGCACAGGGCAGGGTTGCTGGCCACCAGAATCAGCCATGTTTTGTGGCAGTGTGCAGAGGCTTGGAGCAGGAACTGCCCAGGGCATCCTCTGCGGCCCCACATCCACATCTGAAGCACACCTTTTTAAATGAGTAGGTTGAACAATTGAGTACATCTGACTTTGTATGTTGGACACACAGATCAAGGGTTTAAAGTGCACGTCTTGTGTGTGTGCGTGCTGGCCGGTACTGGGCCTTGAACTCAGCCTGGCACTTTGCTGCTCGCAGCTGGCACTCTTGCCACGTGAGCTGTGCTCCAGACATCTGGCATTTTGCCTGTTAATCAGAAAAAAGAGTCTCTTAAGACTTCTCTATTCTAGTTTGGCTTTGAACTCCACCCTCTAGGTCTCAGGTTCCTGAGTAGCTAGGGTTATAGGTGTGAGCCTCTGGTACCTTCGTTGTTGTTGGTGGTGCTGGTGGTGGTGGTCGTCATGGGGCATGAACGCTGTCCCTCAGCTCTTCAGCTCAAGGCTAGTGCTCTACCACTTGAGCCACAGCGCCACTTCCAGCTTTTTCTGTTTATGTGGTGCTAAGGCACCAAACCCAGGGCCTCATGAATGCAAGGCAAGCACTCTACCACTGAGCCACCTTCCCAGCCCCACTGGTACCTTCTTGCAATACCATTATAAAAGTACAGATCAGCTTTTTTTCTCTTTGCTCTTGGCAAATTTTTTTGTTATTTTTTTCTGCCCTAGGAACCCAGAGCTGTTGCCCAGAGCAGTGGGAGAGTGCTTGCTGCTGCACAGGCTCTGGGTTCTCGCCCCAGCACTGCAAAGGAGGGGAAGTTGTAAAAAGGACTTAGGAAAGTCACATAGGGCCATACAGTGGCTGAAGTCTGTAATTCAGCTATCAGAGGTGAAGGTGGACAGGACTGAACTGGTCAAGGCAAATAGTGAGGTCCCATCTCATCCAAAAAAATCGTCAGTGTCGGAGGACTGGGGTTCAGGCAGGCCTGGGCCTAAAGCATGCGACCCTACCTGGGAGGTCATCTGTCCCGCAGACTCAAGGCCCTGAGTTCAAGCTTGTTTTGCCAAAAAAAAACCCAGTTAAGTAGGACCTCTATTTTATGGATATTTGAACAATTTTATATCAGGTGGTAGACTAAATAGAAAAATTTAAATTAAAGCCCACATGCACTTGAGAGACCTAACATGGAGAGCCCAATAAAGCGTGCTCATGCCTTCCGGTAAAAAAAACGAGATGTAGGAAGCAACGTCCATAAACACTTCATTAGGCAAAAGAGCGGAGGAAGTGAATGAGAACCAAGTTGGTGGCATTCTGAGGCTTCCCCTTTAAGAATAGATACTTAGAAAATCATGAACTTAGAGTGGGATTGTGCTGTCCCCAAGTTCTGAACTTAGACCGGGGTGGTGGGGCTGTGGCTCGGAGCACCCACAGAGAGTTCTGCTCCTCCACCTGTGATGGAATGGCCTAGGGAAAGGCTGGCCTGAGGAGCAGGCCTAGGCCAAGGCCTCAGTCACCCTGCCCTGTGGGTGGGAACGCCCCCCCACCCAGCTGTTTGCACTGAGCCATGCCCGTCTCCTGACACGCAGTATTTGGCATGATCATTACCATCGGCCAGTCCATCGTGTATGTGATGACGGGGATGTATGGAGACCCTTCTGAGATGGGCGCTGGGATCTGCCTGCTGATCACCATCCAGGTAAGGGCCGAGCAGTCCCAGATGGTGAGTCTCAACCGTGCGGCCATGGGCCTGTTGCTGGAGACACCAGTGACCTTGCGTTTGCTCTTCTGACTCCACCGGAGGGAGGCTGAGGACATACCGAGCAGCTTCAAATCGATACTGAGAATCTAATTACTGAGGCAGGAAGGACCTGTGCCCCTGGGAACACTGACCCACAGTCTTCGGTTTTTACAGCTCTTCGTGGCTGGCTTAATCGTCCTGCTTTTGGATGAGCTCCTGCAGAAGGGGTACGGGCTGGGCTCTGGCATTTCTCTCTTCATCGCCACTAACATCTGTGAGACCATCGTCTGGAAGGCCTTCAGCCCTACCACCGTCAACACTGGCCGAGGTGTGTGCAGGCCCGTTCCCTCCACTCACTGGCACTGGGTGTATCAGCACGTGAGCCGCCTCCTTCTCCTTTCCCAGTGCGAACCTTCATTTCAAGGAAGTGGCACCACTTTAGCTAGCTGTCTTCTGAGGGCCACCTGGGTTTCCCCCAGCTTTTCATTGGGAACAAGCAGTATGTGTTTACTGCTGCTGTTGGTGAAACGTTGTCTATGATGGAACTGCTGTGCCAAGGCCCTTGGCCCTGCAAGCCCAGCCTTGAAGGAGCCTGAGCTTGGGGTCTGCCTCAGGCCCCATGCAGCGGGCGCTGAGTGCTCTGCACACAGCTCCGCTGCGAAACCTTGGTTTCCAGGACCAAGTAAGAAGTGCCAGAAGCCAGGGCGGCAGTGGTGCCGCATGCGATCACGGCACTGCCAATGGTGCCGACGCAGGGCATGGTGGCATGGTTTGCCGCATTTTATCTGCTAGTGCCTCAGAAATCTTATTTCAGAGGTGCTTTTAGTAGACATACCTATTAGTTCGAGGAAGGCAGTTGTGAGAAAAAAAGGTTGGTTAATTTTTTGATCTGTTAGTCAGAAGGGTCCTCTGAGGGACACTCATGTGCACGTTAACGTATTTTCTTGGAGTTGGGTGCACTTGTGTCTCCAGAGGAGGAAATGGTGGTGGTGATGTATCACTTGTGGTAGGAGCCGTTGAGAGAGAAGAGGCAGGATGAGATGCGGTTCTTGGTGGTCACTTGTATGGCATTAGGAACGCCAGGAGGGCCTGGGGTCTGGGAGGCTGGGGCTCTGTAGCGGAGGTGAGCAGGACTGCCTCTGGCCTTGGAGTGCCTGTTGGAAAGAAGCGGCAGCAGGGCCAGACTGGACGGACAGAGCAGGCAGGGGACGGGAAGGGTGGATCTGCTGTCCAGGCCCCGGGGAAGAGGCACTCGAGGGAGGGGCTCCTGGCCGCACAGCCGGGGACGGCGTGGTCGGGCCAGCAGGTGAGCAGGAGCAGGGCACTGGCAGCTCGCAGCCACGCTACGGCACGGCACGGCACGGCATGGTGCGGGGCGCTCGAGGGCTGCTCCAGCTGGCAGGGCGGGCACAGGTCGGTGGTTGGGGAAGGAGACTCAGGCAGACTGACCACTGCTGCTTTCCTGGCAGTGGGAATAACCTGGAACTGGGAATTTGCAGAAACAGCCGGGCATAGAACAGCTTGTGCCCAGGCGCCGCTAACAGGGAGAGCCTCGTTCCTGGGGACTGGGCAGGTCATGAATTTTAAGAAATAATTAGAATTTAGGAGAGGTAGGACCTAACCTGACGGTGTCAGCTAGCCTTCATCCCACAGGTCCTCCCTGGTCCTGGGAGACACATGCTGGGTATTATGGGAGGGCCTCACCCACAGTTAAGGAAAGCTCTGAAAATGGTGAGGGAAGAATGAGCAAGTGTATGTGTGGCTGGGAGCAGGTGAACAAGGCCCAGTGTGGGTGGTGAGCGCGCGGTGTTTGGTGGGAGGAGGGGAAGCAGGTCCCTCCCCTCTGCCTCCCAAGTTGCCCCGGCTTCCTCCTCTGTGAAGTCAGCGCAGCCCCTGGCTCTGGCCCCTGGTGCAGAGTTCTGTGCAGGTGAAATGGACGTTGTGAACCAAAGGTGAGAGAGACTGGCTTTTATCTTAAATTTCTCCTTCATTCCTAAAATGTCTGAGCCTTCAGGCATTGGGCCCAGCTCTCCTGGACTCATCTGTCTGCCTGTTCCTGAACCTCAGGCAGCGTGCCCTGCCACCGGCCCACCTCCTCTGGTACCATCTTGTGTAGGGCATAGATTCCCATTTGGTTTGGACCACGTGTGGGCAAGGGTGTATGGGGCAGGATCCCTGAGCCGCTGGCCGGGGCAGCTGCTCTTAGCCTTTCAGTGGGGAAAGGGCACTACCCCTTCTGGCTGAGTTCTGCACTGCTGCGGTTGGGACTTCTCAATTAGGGACCTTCATCCCACACAGCGGAGTCACTTGCTCAGTTCACAGCTGTAGTCTGAAAGAAAACGAAGTGACTCAGAAGTCGTCTTCTTTCCCTGTGGTGTGTAATTATGTCCACACTGTTCCTCTCCTCGTGTGCCCTCCTTTGCCACAGGAATGGAGTTCGAAGGCGCTATCATAGCACTCTTCCACCTGCTGGCCACGCGCACCGACAAAGTGCGCGCACTGCGAGAGGCCTTCTACCGCCAGAACCTCCCCAACCTCATGAATCTGATCGCCACCATCTTTGTCTTTGCCGTGGTCATCTACTTCCAGGTGCGCAGTGCCCCGGGGGGGGGGGGGGGGGAGGGAGGGAGGGTTGTTTCACCCCTTCCTGAACCATCAGGCTCACAGCCGAGCTGCTTCCCAGTTCCTGACTCGTGAGCTAGCGTCCTGCCTCCCGGTGTTGACTGGCAGTTAGCCGGGTGGCCACCCTGCACCCTAGCACTCCGGGTCAGAGGCAGCAGCATGGGGGGCTCGCTGCCGAAAGCACGCTTGTGGGGAGCCATGTGTTTCTTCCTGAAGGTCAAACACATGGGTCTCTTGTGCGGGTCTTGCTCGTCAGATGTGTGCTTAGGAGCACCCTAGTTCTGTACAGGTCCAGTGGCTGTTTGCAGTTGGACCAGTACCCACGCCCCGGGCAGCCTCTTCCAGGTGCTGTGCACAGAAGACATGCTCTGTCCTCTCGCAGGGCTTCCGTGTAGACCTGCCAATCAAGTCGGCGCGCTACCGTGGCCAGTACAACACCTACCCCATCAAGCTCTTCTACACCTCCAACATCCCCATCATCCTGCAGTCCGCGCTGGTGTCCAACCTCTACGTCATCTCCCAGATGCTGTCCGCTCGCTTCAGCGGGAACTTGCTGGTCAGCCTGCTGGGCACGTGGTCGGTGAGTGTGGCTGCCGCGGTGTCTGGCTGCTATGTGTCTTGCTGTGGCCAAATATTCCACTCATTGGTTTTTCCTAATTAGAAAATTAGCTCATGGTTTTCTCTACTTTCCGTGCTGGTGCTGGGGGTGAGCCCTGCACCCTGTGCTCTAATTCAACTTTTTCACCCAGGATTGGTGCTCTATGCTTGAGCCATGGTCTTGATTGTCTGATTAATTGGAGATAATGGGTCTATTTGTCCGCCTGGGCTGGTTTCAAACCTTGATTCTCACATCTCAGCCTCCAAGCCTTCAGTGCCTACCTAGCACTTTTCCATGCCCTCTGGGTGCTTGGTGCATGTATGCATGCCCGTGTGTGAGCCAGCACGCTGAAGTCCATCTCTGTGCAGGACACGTCTTCCGGCGGCCCGGCGCGTGCCTACCCTGTCGGCGGCCTGTGCTATTACCTGTCCCCTCCAGAGTCGTTCAGCTCCGTGCTGGAGGACCCTGTCCACGCAGCTGTGTACATCGTGTTCATGCTGGGCTCCTGCGCCTTCTTCTCCAAAACATGGATCGAGGTCTCGGGCTCCTCTGCCAAGGATGTGAGTACAAGCCAGCGCTCCATGGAAGCGTTGCCATGTGCAGGAGGCCCTCCCCTTGGAGGGGCAGCTGAGAAAGGTTAAACGGGCAGAGTGACCAAGCAAGTCACTGCCTCTGAGAGCCTGGAGGTGGAGACTTGTCGTGCCCCCAAGAGCTCCCCCCTGAGTGCTCTGGACTCTTGTCTGCAGGTTGCCAAGCAGCTGAAAGAGCAGCAGATGGTGATGAGAGGCCACCGGGAGACCTCCATGGTCCACGAGCTCAACCGGTGAGTGCGGCCCCAGCGGCCCTGGGCACTGCGTGGGTGCTGCTGGCCCTCCCGGGGGCTGGGCCGGTGGCCATCGGGCCAGGCAGCCGGCATGTGTGGTGGTGTGGGCGCAAAGGAGGTGGTTGCCAGGTGCAGCTGTCCTGCCCCCTAGGGGGAGAGGAGAAAGGTTGGGATCGGAGGGTGGCTCAGGCTGCAGGACAGTTGGACAGATGTGGCACTGACCTCGGGGGTGTGGCACATGGTGGAGGCTTTCTGTCCCAAGAGCATGGCTGCCACTGTTGCTGGAAAACTGCCAGTGCACAGGCCGTGTTCCTCAACACCGCTGGGCAGGGACCTGGGCTGAGCTCAGGCCGCCTACTGCCACCCCCAGGTACATCCCCACAGCAGCGGCCTTTGGCGGGCTGTGCATCGGAGCCCTCTCGGTCCTGGCGGACTTCCTAGGTGCCATCGGGTCTGGAACCGGGATCCTGCTTGCCGTGACCATCATCTACCAGTACTTTGAGATCTTCGTGAAGGAGCAGAGCGAGGTGGGCAGCATGGGAGCCCTTCTGTTCTGAGCCTCAGCTTCTGTGGACCAGGGGGGAGCGTGCCCCGGGGAGCGCGCAGCTGTGGCACAAGGACTTGATTTAATGATGCTTTTTAAATTTCTTATCCTTTCATTCCACTGTGTAAAGTGCTAGATTTTCCAGTTTGAAATTATTCTTTTTCTCGTGGCATTGGCAGAAGCCCGTAGAAGTGAGGTGACTGCCAGAGGGTCATGGCGGCCAGTTGTCCACTTAGTTCCCTGTGGGCCTTTGATCCTGGCCCCTGCGGCACGCAGCTGCGGTGTGCCCCGCTCCCCCCCGCCCCCCCAACCCGAAGGAAGCACAAGCAGAGGTCTGCCCTCCTCCCGGCCCCATGGCGAGGCTGGAGGCTGGGGAGCAGATCCCGCGGCGGGCCCTCACCGGCGCGCCCGCCAGCGCTTCGCTCTCCGACGGGCCCTGAAGGAGGAGTGGGCGTCGGCGTCCGCTCCGACTCGCGGGGCCGGGGCGCGGGGGCGCTGCTGGACTGGCCGCGGCGCCCTCCGTCCCCCGGGGCGGCTAGCTCAGCTTCGCACTGCGCCTGGGACCAACACGCAGCCGAGGAGCTGCAGGGCCGAGCGGGCCGCGGGCGTGTCGGGCCCTGGTGCGCGTCTCGGCCGCACGGCGCCGCCCATCACGCGTGGCCTTGTCTAGACCCGGTCCCAAGCCCCGGGCCGCCGCCGGCCGCGGGTGCTCCGTCCGTGCGGGGCGGGACTCACTGTGGACGAGCGAGAGACGAATAAAGCCGACTTTGTACAGCTGCGTGGCGCCTTCTCTCGGGGAGGGGAGGGGGGGGGCGGGGCGGGGAGGGGGGCGGCGGGCGGGGAGGGGAGGGGGGGCGGGGAGGGGCTCTCGGGGCTCTCGGACGCCTCTCCGGGCCCCGCCCCCGCCCGCCAGGTGCGCAGACGCGCATGCGCACGCGTCCGCGGGGCGGGGCCGGGCCCGCACCGTCCACCACCATCCATCACCAGCGCTGACGGCGCGGGGCGGGCGGCGCCCATCTTATCGCGGCCGCCCAGCCGCGGTCCGCGCATTGATCGCGGCCGAGCCCGGGTCAGCGCGGCCGGCGGCCTGACAGCCGCATCCATCCGCCGCGCCGCCATTAATCACGGGCCGACAGGGCCGCCCGGGGCGGGACGGACGGAGGGGCCTTAGGGACAAGGCCCGCGACCCCGGCCCCGAGGGCAGGGCCCGGGCGGAGGCGGGGCGGGGCGGTTCCCAGAAGCGCCGTGGGCGGTGGAGTGGGAGGCGACCGACCGGGTCCTAGGCTGGGGCTGGGCGGGCGGAAGGAGCGCAAGGGGCGCGGCCCCCCTCCCCCCACCAAGGACCCGCTCCCCGCTCCCCCCCACCAAGGACCCCCCCTCCCCCGCTCCCCCCTCCCCCCCCGCCCTGACGACCGCAGCCGTTTCTCAAGCTGGAGCTGAAGTCTCCCAAAGATGGGGCTGCGGTAATTGTCGCCAGATTGCGTGTCAGCCCGATAAGATGTGACGGATGCCCGCGGGCCCCGGGGCGGGAAGATGGCTGGAGCCGCCACGGCCGGCGGAGAGGGGGGCGCACTGAATAACCGGGCCCGCAGGCCGGACCCCCAGACCTGACCCCGCAGGCTGGACCCCCGCAGGCCTGATCCCCAGACCGGACCCCGCAGGCCTGATCCCCAGACCGGACCCCGCAGGCCTGACCCCGCAGGCCCGCATGGTGGCTGCCTCTCCCCCCTCTGCAGAGGCAGCCACAAGTTAGCCAGAGGCCCAGGCGGGCGGCTGGCCTGACAGGTCAGGTGGGGAAGGCCCCGCCACGGGCAGGCTCTGCGTGCGCGCCCCCCCCCCCCAGCACTCAGCAACTGCCCGCACCACACAGCAAGGCCTTGTCTCAAGAACGGGAAGTAAAGGAGCCGTGCCGGGCACAGCCGTCAGACAGCAGCCCTGCCCACATCTCAGCATTACTCTTCTCTTGTGCCAGGGCTGGGGCTTGAACCCAGGGCCTCATGCGTTCGCCTAGCTTCTCTGCCCGTGACTGGAGCCACACCTCCCGCTCCCAGGCCTGAGGGCCTCTTTGCCCAGGCTCTCTCAGCTGCAGTCCTGGGATCTCGGCCTCCGGGTAGATTGTGGATGAGCCACTGCCACCTGGCCTTTTCCATCTTTTTGGTCTGAGACTGGGACTCAAACTCATACCTGAGAGTTTCATTCATTGGCTAGCACTACCAACTGAACCACACCTCCAACCCGTTTTTCATTTCTTGTTGATTGTGGGGCCTGAACTCTGGGCCTGGGTGCTGTCCTGACTCAGCTCTTCAGCTCAAGGCGAGCACTCTACGGCTTGAGCCTCAGAGCCACTTCCAGCTTTTTCTGCTTATGGGCCGCGGAGGAATCAAATCCAGAGCCTCATGCATGCAAGGCAAGCGCTCTACCGCCAACCCCCCTTGCCAGCCCCCACCATTTTTCTATTGGGCTTGAGTTGAAGAGCAGAAGCACAGGCACACCCTGTGCGGGGGTGCCCCCACAGTTGCCGCAGGGCCACCGAGGGCTGGACACAGGCCCAGCGCAGGGGCTGTGTCCCGGGGCTGCCTGCCCGCAGGCCCTGCTTGGAGCACGACGCCCAGGTGGTGAGTCCCCCTCCCCCACCAGAGGGCAGAGAAGAGCCTGAGCCTGCAGGGTGCTGGGCTGTCCCCTGGGCCGCAGGTCAAGTGCTGCCTCCTTCCCAGGTCACTGGGCCATTAGGCACCAGCGAGGGCACGGGGGACAGTGAGGCGAACTTAGGGCTAAAGCCAGATCCGTTTGGGCAACCAAATGAGGTATTAATGATACCGCGGTGCACGCCTGGCCACCCAGTGTGCAGGCGGAGGGGCCTTTGCAAGCACCCCCCACACACACCAAGGAAGGACAGAGGGGGTGGCTCACCCACGTCTTCTCCCACACCCGGCAGCAGACAGAAAACCCGGCCTCGCTCCCCAGCAGCCCACGCTCTGAGGAGATGCAGGGTGGCGGAAGCCTAGCCGCGTCACAGCAGGCGGGCACTCAGTGGCAAGCACCCCGTGTCCCCGGGAGAGGAGCTCCCAGGAGTCTTTATAGACATTCCATGAACTTACAACAGTCCTGAAGTTTATTTCCTCTTTTAAAGAGACTGTGGTACCAGCTCCTCACCACGCATCACCAAAGTCCAAAGAGGGCTGCACGCCAGGTGAGAAGGGTGCCTTCAAAGCAGCCACAGAAGCTCTGTGGCTGAGCAAGAAGGCTTTCACCCGGGGCTGTGTACAGCAGGCCCGGCCAGCTGGCAGCCCACGCCCGGGCCAGTCAGGGCACGGTCACTTCATGTACTTATCCTGCTGGTCGGCCAGGATCTTGGCGGAGGACTTGGCATCGTAGAAGAGCTCGCTGATCTCCTCCACGTGCTCCTTCTCAATGCTGTCCTTCCCGTTGATCTTCGCCAGCAAGTTGGCCGGAGTCAACAGCTGCACGGAGTACCTGCAGCGGACAGAGACCATGGCAGGGCAGGCGCCGTTGCCGAAGGGAGCCCAGGCCAGCAGACAGCAGACAGCGGCAGAGCGGCCGGCCCGACACAGCAGCATCCCTGGTACTTGTCAGGGCTGCGGAGGCGCCATGCAGGCTGGCAACGCCACGCCCGCACTCCAGGCATCCGCCTAAGGGGTGCGGGCTCATTGAATGGGGTGTGAACTCCAGTCCTGCGCTGCACACGCCCCCTCCCCGCCTCCCCCCCCCCCCCCCCGCCGCCGCAGGTGCAGCCTGCCCCCAGGCAGCTCTGCACACCCCCCCCCCGCCCCCCCCCCCCCCGCAGGTGCAGCCGGCCCCCAGGCAGCTCTGCACGCGCGCGCACGCACGCACGCACACACACACACACACACACCCCCGCAGGTGCAGCCCGGCCCCTGGCAGCTCTGCATACACCCTGTCCCCGCCCCCCTTCCCCCCTCCCCCCCGCAGGTGCAGCCCGCCCCCTGGCAGCTCTGCGCGCACCCCCCCCCCCCGCAGGTGCAGCCCGCCCCCAAGCAGCTCTGCGCGCACCTCAGTGTGGTCTTGGTGCCAATCTCCCCCAGGTGGTTCAGGGCCTCCTCGCTGATGTTGATGCCCTCTGTCTGTGCGCGGATCTTAATGATCTTTGGGAGAAAATCACTTGGTCACTGGTGGCCAGCGACCCCAGGCGCACACCTTCAAAGGGTGCTCAGCACAACCTGGCCAGCGTCCCTCACCCTGCCGGCTGCTGGACGGGAAGCTGAGGGCCGGCCAGCCTGCGGCCCTGGGCAGCACCCAGGCGGCTCGCAGCTACAGGGCTCCTGCGGGCTGACGGGGGCCTCAGCTCTGACCTTCCCATGGCGTGGGCACCCTGCCACGGGCCACTCAGAAAGAGAAGACGTTTTTATTTATTTGACAAATACAATGGGTTAAATAAATCAAAAAAGTTACTCTTAGATTTGCCGGTCCCTCTAGCATCGCCGAGATCTCATGGGGGGGGGGGGGTACTTGTCGCTGTGCCGGGGCGAGGCTGGTGGCAGCGGCCCCTGTAGCGGGGAGCAGGGGTCTTGCAGGCGCCCCGGCACTGAGTGATAAGGGCCGGCAGGATAATGATGCTGTGTGTTGTGCAGCTGAGATAACTCGAGGACTTCGAGCCTCATATAATACAGGAATTTTTCACTCTGGCAGCTTCGTAAACAAGATATCAAGAAGCGCTTGTTTAAATTAAAGCTGTAAAAACACACCAGGACAGAGGCACAGGAGCTAGGAGACATGGAGTGCTCACATGAGAAACAAGGTTTCTGGGGATGGTCCTGCCACAGCTCGCTGGGGAGCAGCCGGCCTGGGGCCGCCGGGCGCTCAGGACTGCCAGCTGCCTGCAGACAGGAAGGACTGGCGGGCGGGCGGGCACAGCGCCACAGGCCAGCTGGCGCCAGCAGACTGCACCGCAGCAGGGTCCACGCGCCCAGACTTCCAGCACGCGTGGCTGACTCAAACCTCACCTCACACACACCACAGTGTGCTTGCTGGTGCAAGCTCCACGGAGGCTCGGCCTGTGCACCAGGGCTGCACCACCGGGCTCAAAGCTAAACCCAGCCCAGCAGAAGGGCCCAGGAAGTGACTGGACAGGAAGCTGGAGGGCAGAGCCTGCTCCTGGACAGCGGCCACAGCAGTTTTGGTGATGGCTGCAGACAGAAGCCTCAGGTTCTACAGAGAAACATCCCCTGGGAACAGGGAGCCGTGGGTCCTGCAGGAACAGTCTCCTGGGACTCCCTTCAAACCGCAGGGGGCCTGGCCGGGCAGGGGCTCCGTGGGGAGCACACGTGTTCCTAACAGGCCTGTCTGTGGTTCTGTTCTACCCCCGCACCGCGCAACCCTCCAGGGAAATGCGAACATGGAACATGGACTCAGCTCAGCCTCCAGGATCTCCAGGCCACCCCAGAGGCCCCCCTTCAGACCAGGGTGGGCTGGGCTCGCTGTGCTTAAAAGCCTGCCTTGGGTTCCAGCAGAAGCCAGGGCCCAGTCACAGGCAGGAAGCCCTTGGAGAGGCTGGTAGACCTTGTGGCTGTGTGCAAGGCACTGCAGAGCCGCACAATCCTCCTCCCCCACCTCGTCACGTGGTTGTACAGAGCTGTGCGGTGCCTCTGGAGCATGGCGCTTAGGCCACAGCGGCAGAGGGAGCCGCGTCTTGGCCCTAAGGTCCAGCCACCTCAAGAATCCGTGGCAGCCCTGCTGGTCCCCACACCCAGAGCAAGCCGGGAGGCCCAGTGGCTCAGGCCGCTCAGCACACATGCACTTCCCCTCCCTACCACACAGCTCGCCAGGGCTCCGGCCCCTGGCTGGTGGCCTTTTCTGGCAGGGCCCAGGTTTGGTCTCAGTAATGGCTTCAGTGTCTGCAGAAGTGACAAGCACCCAGCAGGGTGACAGAGCTGGTGCCCGCAGAGGGACAGAGCGAGCCTCCCGCAGCCGGCCAGCGCCCCCTCCTCCACTCAGGGCTGGGACAGAGCGAGCCTCCCGCAGCCGGCCAGCGCCCCCTCCTCCACTCAGGGCTGGGACAGAGCGAGCCTCCCGCAGCCGGCCAGCGCCCCCTCCTCCACTCAGGGCTGGGACAGAGCGAGCCTCCCGCAGCTGACAAGCGCCCACCTCCTCCGCTCAGGGCTGTCAGCGAGTCCCTTCTTTCACCTGCCTCTCCCCTCACGTTACTGAAAAGGCTCTTGCAGAAGAGAGTGCAGCCAGAACCCCCGAGTGGAGCTCTGCACCTGCAGGTGCGTCCACACTGTAGCTAGCACAGCTAGCCCACAGATGGAGCCTGAGCCACAGGGAGGCACGGGGGGGGGGGGGGGGGGGGGGGGCCGGGAGGCTCACCTGCTTCATCTCCTGGGGTGTGTACAGCATGGTGCGGATGATCATCACTCGGTCCAGAAGGTCCAGGGGGATGCCATGAGGAGAGGTAATGTCCTCGGTGCCCCTGTGCGGCAGAAGCGCCCACCCCCAGCTTCAGACAACACTGACCCGGCACGAACGGCGGCCCCACTTACCTCCCAAGAGAATCAGCAGAACTACCGGCCCAAGAAAGCCCAGTCCCCACTGGAGTAGGGGAAAGCCGGGGAAGGGGCAGGTACGGCAGCACCACAGCCAGACACGGGAAGGTGGCTCAGGGGTAGAGCGCTTGCCTAGCATGCGTGAGGCCCTGCATGCGTCTCCTCAGTACCTCATACACAGAAAAGACCAGAACTGGCACTGAGGCTCAAGTGGTAGAGCGCCAGCCTTGAGCAAAAGCAGCTCAGAGGCAGTGCCCAGACCCTGAGTTCAAGCCCCAGGACTGGCAAAAATAAAAAAAACTTTAAAAAGCTCATCATTATGTTTTGGTTCCAATTAGATTTGTTCTTGAATCCCGGATGTTTATTGCTAGCTTGGCCTAAGACCCACGGGTAGCTCCCATGTTTCACCGGCTGGGCGATGGAGCCGTGACTGCACCTCCTCTAGGCAGCCAGGCTGGGGCTTGGAGGCACAGGCCCGATTCTCCTGGGAACCCAGCAAGGCACACTTCCAGAAATGTATGCTAGGGACACACAAACACGTGCAAGATTCACAGTAGTGAACCCTGGACAGACCTGCCCAGGGCCTGTGAGCACGCAGGCTCTGACACACGCGGCTGTCTGATGGGCAAGTGGCCCTCGCTAGGGCCAGCCTGGAGGGGGCGGGGCACCGGGTGCCGCCGTTTCTCGCGCAGGAGCGGACCTCTCTCCCCGTGACGTGCGTCCTGCGTGCTGTCCTCAGAGCCCGGCCGGCCTGGCCTGGGCAGACACCTCCCGCCAGGCCCCCACACATCAGGTGGGTGATGCTGCCAGGGGGGCTCACCCCAGGAGGGCTCCTGGGAGCACGTGACCAGCTTCGTGACCCTGGGCTGAGCCGGCCGGCTGGGCAGCGGCGGCCCGTACCTGATGACGCAGTTGCCGCGGTTGGAGGCGAAGATGACGATGGGCGCGATGGAGGATTCCAGGGCACGGTGCAGGTAGGTGAAGCACTCGATGTCCAGCATGTGGACCTCGTCCACGAACAGCACCCCTGGGACCAGCTCGGCGATGCCCTGGTCGATGTACTTGTTCACCACCTTGTTGATCTCCCCTCGGAGCTTGTCTGGGAGACGGGAGAAAGGGCAGGCCAGGTGGGCACCGGGAGAAACTGCCGCAGAGTTCTCTTCTCCCCACCCTCGTCAGCCCAGCCTGCGGTGGGGCCTCACGCGCCCTCCACGAGGCCCCACTCCAGGCTTTATTCAGGGACATCCCCACGCTGGCAGCCTCCCTGCAGATGCACAGCGAGGGCGGCCCGGCTGGCCTGTCACCCTCCGCGCTGAGCCTTATCTCACCAGCACCCAAGCTAGCGCCTCACCCGCAGGCGGACCAGGTGGAAGCCCTTCCTGATGGGGGCTTTCATATGCAAATTTCCCTGTCCCGTACTTTCCTCTGGCCCCGTGACAATGTCCAGGTTAATTAACTTTCAATCAAGTACGGCTGGGTCCTCTGGGGCAGGAGGGAGGCAAGCTGAAGAAAAGCCAGTCTCAGACTCCTGAGGATGTCTCCAAGTTACAGACCCCATCAAAGGTCACAGCCCTCCCTTTGCGAAAGGCTCCCCAGTGTCTCCAGGAAGGAGCGGGCGCACCGGACAAACCTTCCACCGCAGCTGTCAGACGAGAGGGCACACACAACATGGCGGTCCCTCTGGGCCGGAACCTCCAAAGTCACAGTGCCCTTCACGTCTAACTTACATTTACGTTGACAAAGCTATGGGTGGTAATGAGGCAGAGGGCACAAAGTTCGGGGCGGCATCAAATGCACGAGGGAGTTGCATTTCCTGCAGAGCTGTGGCCAGCAGTGGAGCTGCTACTGTCAGCCAGGGTGGCAGCTCAGCCTGCCAACACTTCTTGGTCCTGGGGGACAAGAAACTGGCGTCCCAAGGCCAGAGTGCACACGGCGGCCAGTGGGGCAGGTGCGCCGACGCTGCCCTGCGGGGTGCCCTCACCTGTGATTTCTGTCTTCTTTGGCTTCATTAGCTGGCCCATCATGGACAGGATGTCTTGTCCTCCCTGTGGAAGTGCAGAGCGTGGTCAGGCCTGCTTCTCAGGGGACTGCTGAAGCCCCTCCCCACTCTGCCCCCACAGGCTCCTAACGCCACCCGCGGGGAACACCCCCCCCCCCCGGGGCAATCTCTCTTTTCTCTCTCTCTCTCTCTCCCAAGCACTGGGGCCTGGTCTCCATCCGTGAGCCTCTCTGCGCTGCACTCTGCCACTTCAGCCAGTGCCACTTCCAGCTTCTTCTCTTTATTGGAAACGAAGCTGACGGACTTCCCTACTCTGGGCTGGTGTCGAACCATGATTCTCAGATCTCAGCCTCCTGAGCAGCTAGGATTACAAAGGTGAGCTACCAGCATCTGGCTGAACATTTCTTTTTCGCAGTTTTGGGGTCTTACACTTGCTAGGCAGATGCTCTACCACTTGAACCACACCTCCCCTTTTTGCTTTTGTTATTTATTTTTTTCCAGCACAGCTTTCTTCTGCCCCAAGCCTGCCGAGGCTGGCCTCCTACCTGCCCTTCCCATGCAGCTAGGATGACAGGCATGCATCACCATACCCAGCTTTCTTGTGGTTGAGATGGGGTCTTGCAACAAAGTTTGCCCAGATTGGCCTCAAACCACAATCCTCCTCATCTCACCCTGCCAAGCAGCTAATCACAGACACGATCCCTTCTTTGAATCCCTCGCTGGACCCCCAGGCCCTCTACTCCTTCTCCTTCCCCAAGGTCATGTCAGAGGCCCAGGGCAGCTAACTTACCAGAGATCACTCACACCCCTCCCTGCCACACACACACACACACACACACACACACACACACTCACACCCCTCCCTGCCACACACACACAGTGCCAGGGCCACATGTTCCTGTGTCCTGCCTCACTAGCCTCTGCCCCAACCCAAGCAATGTGCCAACCAGGGTCTTCCCACCAGCACCTAACAGTGGGGTCAGGAGGAAGGGGCTGGTGCGCTGTCACTGCCCCAACGTTAGCGGCTGCCTGGCGGCCAGCAGGCCTTGACTCAGGAGGGGCTCACTACCGGTCGGAGGCTTCCTGAGTACTCACTTCCGATCTTCAAATAGCCCTGCTGGGGAGGAACTCAGAAAGCCTGGAGTGCTCCCCAGTGCAGTGACCCCTGGCAGGGCCCGCTGTGCTTTTTTTCTCTGAATCCCAACAGTCTGAGCCAGAGCCAGTGGTCACGCCTAGCTATCAAGAGGCTGAGATCAGAGGCTATGGCTCAAAGCCAGGATGGGCATGAACATTCATGAGACTCTTACTTCCAGTTAACTGCCAAAAAAAAAAAAGCCAGAAACAGAGCTTTGGCTCAAGTAGAAGAGCACTAGCCTTGAGCAAAAAAACCCTCAGGGACAGTGCCCAGTCCTGAGTTCAAGCCCCAGGACTGGCACAAAATAAATCCAGTTAAATAAATGAAGCAAACATTTCTCAGAAATGTCATAAAGTGGTGACATACTTTCCTGTCTATTAGACGAGGTGTTGCGTATCCACCATTTGTCTAGAGAGCAAGCACAGCCCCTGCTCAGAGCCCACATCTCAGGGGCCTGGAGGAGAATGAAGGAGCCAAGCAGAGGCTGCACACAAGGCTTTGCCGGGTCTTCTGAAATCCTGCACAAGGGCCCACACAACACTGTGCTAGCAGGCCACGGCCACGAGGGCGTGCAGAGCCAGGAGTCCAGGGCTGGAGAGGAGCCACAGGGAAGCTGGCTGGCTGGTGCTGGGCCAGACCGCTCCCTGGGACAACAAAAAACAAAGCGCAGGAAACGGGCTGTGACCGGCGCCTTTGAATGGGAACAAAGGAGATGGGCACTCGTGTCATCCTTAATCGCTGAACATCACAGACAGAACAGGACCACCTGCCGGAGAGGGAGAGGTGGCGGGAGCCTGACTGGCTCCGAGGCCTCAGGGTGGGTGGCTGGGTTTGTGCGTGGTGGGGGGGGGGGGGGTGGCGGCAGTACCTGGGGCCGGGCGTTGGCCACATCCAGGTCATGCAGGGTCACATCCTGGATGATCTCCTTCTTCTTGTGCACGTCGCCCTTTGGCAAGGGGACATACTCTTCAGCTTCGAGGTCAAACTCAGTGGCATAGGTGTCGCACCTGCCCTGCCTCTGTGGAGACACCAGCACCCGGTGAGAGCGCACGCCAACACCGCCGGTCCCGGGCGGGCGCCGAGGGAGATGCCGGCTTCGGTGTGCTTCTCCCCAAACTGTCGGCCCATCACCGCCCAAGCTCCCCTCCAAGAGTTTGTTCCCTCTGTTTCTCTCAACTGTGTGCAATTCCTGATAAAGGGCAAATCCCATAGATTAACTGGAGGCAGAGAGGGGCGCAGCCCGACTCCTTTGTAGGTGGGTGATTTATTGTAGATATGAAGTATTATGCTCATCCATTAAACAGTGAGGAGCACTGTACAGGACGCCGAGAATCAGATAGAGAAAGAATGCCACCTAACGCAGCGGCGTTCCTTCCCACATGCATATATCTCGGGAAGCAAATACCAAGGAGATAAAAGGAAGATTAAATACGTTGCACATTTCAATTTGAAGATGACTAAAGTTGTTTGCTTTCTTACCCTGTGCCTGTCCCCTCCAAGCAGGCTCCGCTCCCATCCCGGGAAGGTTAGAGGACGGGGAGAAAGGCAAGCTCACGTTGCTAGGCGTGGGGGTCACCCCCCCCCGGGCGCTGGCCCGGAGCGGAGGCCAGCCCCTGCCCCGTGGCACCTCTCCCACACGGCACCCCAAGACAGTGTTACCTTCACAGCCCCGCTGTTGGCCTCAATGTAAATCACATCTCCAGCTTCCACTCGCTCTTTCTGCAGGCTTTCAAAAATACTGGGGTCCAGCTTAGAAACAAACAGACCAGGGTGACTCAGACACAGCAGGTATGCTCCACCGCTTCGACAGCCCTCCAGGGAAACCCAGGAAGGCGGTGCCGGCGTGGGCCTGGATTACAAGTGGGAGCATGCAGAGACCAGAGGAGGGCGGGCGGGAAAGCCGTGTGCGTATGCAGAGCACCGCTCCCCTCCTCCCTTGACTTCGGGTGCTCTAACAGGCAGAGACATCTGCCCTAACCCTCGCCAAAGAGCAAGCTCTCTGCTCTCCCCACGGACAGCAGCAGAGCTTTCTATAAAAGAGGCATCTGCCAGCATCTCAGAGCTCAACAGCTCTGAGGCCCAGCATTGTCATCTACAGGCCAGTGAGTGGGTGCCATCATAGATGTGGGAAACACCCTCCCTCAGGCCTGCCTGCTGACAGGGGCTGTGGCTCTCTTCCAGGCGGTCGGATCACTGCAGCCAATCCCCAGCAGCTCCTTCGTAAGGACCCTGAAGTCAGACCGAGGTTCTCTATGTTACCTGACACAGAGTGGAAAACCACAACTAGAGAGCAAGAGCGGAGGCTTGGTGAAAGAAGCCTCGCGCAGAGGAGCATGTGCGATCCCGCGCGGCTGAAGCGGCCCCAAGAGACCACAGACAAGAAAGCAGATGAGCGGTGGCCGGCGTGGGGTGCGGAAGGTGTTGGAGGTGGCGCAAGGATCTAAAGCTGGATTGGGGTGACGGCGGTCCATGGGAATGCACTGGGATTCTGTAAGCTGCATGCTTAAGGCGAGTAAGTTCTATTCAGATCACATCCCACGGCCTCCGCAGGTGGGTGGAGGCTGCTGGGCTCCAGGACGGCAGCGGGGAACACAGGAGCCACGCTCTCCCGGCCGTGCTTCACAGGCAACCTGCAAGCTTACACACCCACCCGGTCTCTGAGGCCCTTCTACCCCCGTGTCTTCCTTCCCTTTTATACCATGTTCTTAAAGAAAACGTGCGTAACGGCTGCAAAAACAGCTACATTGCACTACACGCCTTGTTCCAACATGAGATACACTGAAGAGTCTACTTTTCTTTTTGCCTCAAGCATTTTATATTGGTTAATTTCCCAAATGAAGTGACTGAGCATGTAATTGCTGAAAAGGCAGCATACCTACTAAGAAATCTAATTAATACAGCCTGGAAGTGATGAGGGGTAGGTATAAGAGAGATTATTTGCAGAAGCAAGCTCCTGAGATGAAAACCCTGTTAGGAAAAAGAAAAATGGCCCTTTGACGAAGTGACATTTTTATGGTCTCCATAAAGCTGTGACCAAGAAACAACCTTACAGACCAAAGACCCATAAAATTGTAGAACAGAGTAAAGACGGAGATAGTATATGGCCACTCCACTGCAGTTTATAGATGAGAACACTGAGTCTCAGAGAGCTCAAATGACTTCCAAAGGTCACACAGCAAGTTGGAGGACAGAGAGCACGATGGTTAGGATTCAGTCCTGCAAACCAGCGGTAGGATCACAGGACAGCTGTCTAGCCTCCTTGTGAGCCTCTCCTGCTCATCTGTAAACTGAGGGAAACCGGAGGCTCAGTTACAGGTGAAATGCTGCTGAAGCAGCTCAACACGCACTGGTAGTGTCAGCGACTGCTCTGCACAAAATAGTAGCCCACAAAGCCTGCGACCCACACTGCCCCTCCCTCTCACAAGGACCTCCACATACCACCACGCAGGGAGTCAGCAGGGGTTAACGGACGCAGGCATGGCCGCTCAGAGCCAAGACATCCTTCCGTCTGTGCTCCGGCTCTGCCCAGCGAGCCGCCGCCGCCCGCCTACCCAAGGTCTGAGGATGAGCGCGGGCCACCGCCCGCACGGGCACGCGAGGCCCAGCCCAGCAGCCTGCCGGCTCTCACTGCCAGTGCGTGGGAACTCACCTGGCCGTCCCGCAGGACAAAGGCCCGAGCCCCCTGGCCAGGCCTCCAATGCCCCTGCCCAGAGCCGCCCAAAGCTCACCTTCAGCTGCTTGGTGCCTTTGGCTGTCTTCAGTCCTATGACCACGTGGCTGATGGTTTTGCCGTAGCCCCCCATTGGGTTCTCTGTCTCACACGGGGTCAGCTCTGTCACCTCCCCTTCATAAACCTCCTTGGTCTCCTTTATTCTCAGCCCTGGAAGAGATCAACCCTAACAGCATAAGCTCAGGGTAGACAGGAAATACAGGTGCATACATGCAAACTGCAGGTATTACTGAGAAATGTGGGAAAAGTGATTTTACCTCAACTTTTTTAAAAGGACTTTTTTCCCCCTTTCTAAAATATTTTTTATTGCGATTAAGTGACTACATAAATTTCACAGTATTGTGGGATAATGATACTTAAAGTCACAAACACATTTAAACCTTGACCAGGCAAACTGTCATGACCATGGTGTATGAAGTTTGTGAGTTTTACCAGCTTTAACAATACAACTATCTCTTCCCCACTGGGTGATGCGTGCATTTCCTTCCTTGTGCTTAGTGAGAGCTGTTCCCTCTTCCCCTCCCCTCGCTGCCCTTGAGCTGCTTAGTTCGCAGTCATCAATGTCCAGGGCAGCTGATGGCCCCTCTGTTGTGTATTTTCTGATTCTGTGCCTCCTCCTGGCTTCCCTCAGATGTGCACAGATATACTCCATATACGTGGTCAAGAGCATAGAGTCATTTAGAAATGATGCAACAAATTGAATGGAGGCCCTTTGTTTCATGAGTCCTGTTTACCTTGCATTTTGAATTTAACATTAAGACTTTCTAGGTTCAAACCTAGAACTGGATATACAAGCTATAACTCTCAACACTGTTGTAGACGTACAACTGTGAGAAGACAAAATTTACCTTTAGTGCCTAATCTAACATTCATTCTCAGCTATCAGCAGCTACAAAATCTCTGAGCTTTTGTTTCCTGCTTTTCTGATTCTCAATACCCGCGTCTGACACACTGAGGCCAGCCCAAGGCCTGCTATCTCGCCAGGGGTCAGAGGTGACCCTGCCGAGCCCTCCAGGCCTCCAGCTGGTGCTCGGAGCACACTGACAGATGCACCAAGTGGTCCTGCTTCGTTTGCAGGGGGCTGTTCCACAGCTGTCCCAAGGCCACAAAAGTAAAACAAGTAATTTCTAGAGCACTTATCCCCCACAATATACATTACAGTTTAAAAACATGACATTAAAATGTGAAGGAAATGGGGCTTTTCTATTGTTATTTCTAAAACAGTGATCTGAAGTTTTCTTTATTTTATTTCACACATGTATATGGACAAAGCAGCCAAGCCCCCAAGAAAACGCAACTGTGATCATGTTTATCTGCAGTTTAAAAGCAGGCACAACTATAAGACGTTAGAAATCAGGACGGTGGTCACTGGGAAGCCGTTTTGGGGCACTGGCAACCCGGGTTCCCGTCTACGTAGCTCGGCCACCCAGTTAGGCGGTGTGCACGCTGTGCAGGTGTGCACACAACTAGAAACGTGCTATGCGCCAGTGCGGGGCTCACAGCTGTGGGCGGCATCACACCCACAATCCCCAGGCCCTGGCTGTTCCAAATCTCAGCAGCGAGTCAACTGCACACCGTGCCAGAGGGTCTTCAAGCCCAGCCAAGCTGGCAAGAGTGAAGTCTTCTGACAAATGGGGAGGCAAAAGCCACTGTCCACAGCCCGGCCCAGGCGGCGTGCTGCCCTCCCGCCCACCCCGCCGGCCGATGCGCTCCATCACACCCTCTTCCAGAGTACTGCCGGTCCAGCAAGACGCTTCGGAGCACACGCACTCCACCCGCCAGCCTACAGATGGAGGCTCTGGAGGAGCCCCAAAACTTCACTCCCTAAATATCAAGACAGAAGCTTTGCAAACAACAGCACACCAGAAAACAGTGACAAACCTGGAACTTTCATCAAACCTTTTATGTCCCAGAGATAAATTCCGCCAGACGGGGAACTCTACCCCCAAGTACTGTCAGCCGACTGTGACCTGAGACCTCTTAGGAGGGGGGAAGGGCACCTGTCTCTCACTAGTGCCGGCGCTTGCTCAGGAGCGGCAGGAGCAGGAGGGGGGCGGCGGCAGACAATGGCCCGGGCTGTTAGCAGGGAAGGGGCGGGACGGGCGCTATCTCTGGCAATGACAACACAAATGACACCGGTTTCATCTGCCGGCTCGGGTTTCTAAACCTCTGACAGCGACCTTCATCACATCAAGGAAACAGCACAGACTTCTGGCTTTTCATTTCTGGTGGTTCACTGCCTCCTCCCACCCCCTCCACCAACTTCACGGGAATTCAAAGGCACCGGAGACAGGCAGGGCTCCTTTCTGCAGACCGCCGATGACCGGCCCTTTTGTTCAAGGATCAAGAAATTTCACTGCATCTTGCTGCCATCAGAAGAAATGCACTGCCTCTTCCTTCAGACGCACAAACCACAGCACAGGTGCGGCAGAATTCTCTCATCTCTACTTTTTAAAGTCTCAAAGCGTTAGGGCTGCCTTTAAGCAATAAGTACATGTACTCATATGAAAACCGGTTTTGTCACCTTTGGTACATGTCAGAAAACAGAGTTTGAAGTATTCAGCTATTTCAAGTAGGTGGGACATCACGAATGTCATCACTAATCTTAAAAGAGCACTGGCAGTCAGGCACACGCCTGTAATCAGGCACTTGAGCCTGAAAAAATTCAATGCAAGCCTTGAATTTGAGACCCTGTCTCAAAAACAAAAGAAAAAAGAAGAGGAAGGGGATGAGAGGCAAAAGAAGGAAAACCACTGGCATGTGTAGAAAAGGTGGTACGCACCTTAGTTCCAGCTGCTCAGGAGGCTGAGGTGGAAGCGCACTTGAGCTGAGGATTTTGGGGCCAGTTGGGCAAAATAGCAGGATCCCGTCTCAAAGAAGAGAAGGACTGCTGGGTGCCGGTGGCTCAGGCCTGTCATCCTAGCTACTCAGGAGGCTGAGATCTGAGGATCACGGTTCAAAGCCAGCCCGGGCAAGAAAGTCCGTGAGACTCTTATTTCTAATTAATCACAGAAAAAGCCAGAAGTGGTGCAATAGCTCACATGGTAGAGGGCTCACCTTGAGCAAAAGGAGCTCAGCACCAAGGCAAAAGTAACACAAAACTTAGCCCGCGGAAGGGCCCCGCCCTCGCTGGCTCAGCCACACTAGCATGGGATGGGAAGGGACGGGAGGGGACGGGAGGGGCAGTGCAGGACAAGGCTCAGGAAGGAGACCCCCAGCCCGGCCTGCTCAGCGGTTCAAGGAGCCCAGGGAGCCTGAAGCAGGCCACCACTAACTCCCACTGGTAGTCCACAGTGTGCACAGACGCACACACCCGCCATGGCTCCCACGGCCTCAGTCCACTGCACAGACGCACACACCCGCCAGGGCTCCCGCGGGTCAGTCCACTGCACAGACGCACACACCCGCCAGGGCTCCCGCGGCCTCAGTCCACTGCACAGACGCACACACCCGCCAGGGCTCCCGCAGCCTCAGTCCACTGCACAGACGCACACACCCGCCAGGGCTCCCGCAGCCTCAGTCCACTGCACAGACGCACACACCCGCCAGGGCTCCCGCGGGTCAGTCCACTGCACAGACGCACACACCCGCCAGGGCTCCCGCAGCCTCAGTCCACTGCACAGACGCACACACCCGCCAGGGCTCCCGCGGGTCAGTCCACTGCACAGACGCACACACCCGCCAGGGCTCCCGCGGGTCAGTCCACTGCACAGACGCACACACCCGCCAGGGCTCCCGCGGCCTCAGTCCACTGCACAGAGGCACACACCCGCCAGGGCTCCCGCGGGTCAGTCCACTGCACAGACGCACACACCCGCCAGGGCTCCCGCAGCCTCAGTCCACTGCACAGACGCACACACCCGCCAGGGCTCCCGCAGCCTCAGTCCACTGCACAGACGCACACACCCGCCAGGGCTCCCGCAGCCTCAGTCCACTGCACAGACGCACACACCCGCCAGGGCTCCCGCAGCCTCAGTCCACTGCACAGACGCACACACCCGCCAGGGCTCCCACAGCCTCAGTCCACTGCACAGACGCACACACCCGCCATGGCTCCCGCAGCCTCAGTCCACTGCACAGACGCACACACCCGCCAGGGCTCCCGCGGGTCAGTCCACTGCACAGACGCACACACCCGCCAGGGCTCCCGCGGGTCAGTCCACTGCACAGACGCACACACCCGCCAGGGCTCCCGCGGGTCAGTCCACTGCACAGACGCACACACCCGCCAGGGCTCCCGCGGCCTCAGTCCACTGCACAGACGCACACACCCGCCAGGGCTCCCGCGGGTCAGTCCACTGCACAGACGCACACACCCGCCAGGGCTCCCGCGGGTCAGTCCACTGCACAGACGCACACACCCGCCAGGGCTCCCGCGGCCTCAGTCCACTGCACAGACGCACACACCCGCCAGGGCTCCCGCGGGTCAGTCCACTGCACAGACGCACACACCCGCCAGGGCTCCCGCGGCCTCAGTCCACTGCACAGACGCACACACCCGCCAGGGCTCCCGCGGGTCAGTCCACTGCACAGACGCACACACCCGCCAGGGCTCCCGCGGCCTCAGTCCACTGCACAGACGCACACACCCGCCAGGGCTCCCGCGGGTCAGTCCACTGCACAGAGGCACACACCCGCCAGGGCTCCCGCAGCCTCAGTCCACTGCACAGACGCACACACCCGCCAGGGCTCCCGCGGCCTCAGTCCACTGCACAGATGCACACACCCGCCAGGGCTCAGTCCACTGCACAGACGCACACACCCGCCAGGGCTCCCGCGGGTCAGTCCACTGCACAGACGCACACACCCGCCAGGGCTCCCGCGGCCTCAGTCCACTGCACAGACGCACACACCCGCCAGGGCTCCCGCGGCCTCAGTCCACTGCACAGATGCACACACCCGCCAGGGCTCAGTCCACTGCACAGACGCACACACCCGCCAGGGCTCCCGCGGGTCAGTCCACTGCACAGACGCACACACCCGCCAGGGCTCCCGTAGCCTCAGTCCACTGCACAGACGCACACACCCGCCAGGGCTCCCGCGGCCTCAGTCCACTGCACAGATGCACACACCCGCCAGGGCTCAGTCCACTGCACAGACGCACACACCCGCCAGGGCTCCCGCGGGTCAGTCCACTGCACAGACGCACACACCCGCCAGGGCTCCCGCAGCCTCAGTCCACTGCACAGACGCACACACCCGCCAGGGCTCCCGCGGGTCAGTCCACTGCACAGACGCACACACCCGCCAGGGCTCCCGCAGCCTCAGTCCACTGCACAGACGCACACACCCGCCAGGGCTCCCGCGGGTCAGTCCACTGCACAGACGCACACACCCGCCAGGGCTCCCGCAGCCTCAGTCCACTGCACAGACGCACACACCCGCCAGGGCTCCCGCGGGTCAGTCCACTGCACAGACGCACACACCCGCCAGGGCTCCCGCAGCCTCAGTCCACTGCACAGACGCACACACCCGCCAGGGCTCCCGCGGGTCAGTCCACTGCACAGACGCACACACCCGCCAGGGCTCCCGCAGCCTCATCCGCCTGCCTGCGCTCTCCCCGATCAGAGACCCTCTGGCGCCCAGCACAAGCAGGACGGGCCGGCAGCACCCCAGCCGACGCCCAGTGAGCACCTTGCTCCCCACGCTCAGCCGTGCTGACAGGGCAGGACCACTCTCCTCCAACAGAGCCCAAGTGCTCAGCACCCCACCATGCCCAGGTATAGACCACCCAACCCCACTCCCTGCTGCTGTCCTCCCTGCGGCTCTCCCTCTTCCCCTCCCTCTCCCTGCGGCTCTCCCTCTTCCCCTCCCTCTCCCTGCGGCTCTCCCTCTTCCCCTCCCTCTCCCTGTGGATCTCCCTCCTCCCCCCTCTCCCTGCGGCTCTCCCTCCTCCCCCTTCTCCCTGTGGATCTCCCTCCCCTCTCCCTGCGGCTCTCCCTCCTCCTCCCTCTCCCTGTGGATCTCCCTCCTCCTCCCTCTCCCTGTGGATCTCCCTCCTCCCTCTTCCTGTGGATCTCCCTCCTCCCTCTCCCTGTGGATCTCCCTCCTCCCCCCTCTCCCTGTGGATCTCCCTCCTCCCCCCTCTCCCTGTGGATCTCCCCCCTCCCTCTCCCTGTGGATCTCCCTCCTCCCCCTCTCCCTGCTGTCCTCCCTCCCCCTCTCCTTGCTGCCCCTTCCCACATCACCCAAGAAAGTCTATAAGACTGAAGCCAGAACTCAATGGCCACGGTCCTGTCCAGCTTCTTGGGTTTTGATCCACACCAGTTACTGAGTCCAGGCTGAGTGGCGTGAGGGGGATGAGGGCTCAGCACGGAGGCCCTGACAGCCCAGGCACAGCCTGAGCTGCTCGCAGAGCAGAGGCTGCAGAAATCAGACCGCTCAGTCACTGGCAACGTGCTCAGCCTTCTGAGACGCCGTTGACCGGCAAGGGCCTGGGGAGCAAAAGGCCTGCCAAGTAACACTCACTGTGGCGCATCGCAGACGCCAGCGCTCCACCAGCAACCCCAGGGCCCTCACACCTCCGCCGGCCCACCACTGCGGATCACAGGCAATTGGAAATGCACAGCATGACATACAATGACTCTGGCTTGAATCCAAAACCAATCTGACTGATAGCCCCAAAAGCACAACACAGCTGCCAGGAAAATCTGACTTTAAAAGAAAATTCTCGAGCCTGGCAACAGGGGCTCATGCCTGTTAGCATAGCTACTCAGGAGGCTGAGATCTGAGGATTTCAGTTCAAAGCCAGCTAGGGAAGGAAAGTCTGTGAGACACTTATGTTCACTTAACCACCAGAAAATCAGAAGTAGCACTGTGGCTCAAGTGGTAGAGTGCTCGCCTTGAGCTGAAGAGCCGAGGGACAGAGTTCAAGCCCCACAACTGACAAAAAAAAAAAAGAAAAAAAAGAAGTCAATTCTCAATTCTCAATCCTCAGGTCTCAGCCTGCTAAGGAGCCAAGATTATGAGCTTGAGCCAGTGCCCAGCAAAGCTGGGGTGTGTTTTATTTTGCTGGCAAAGGTAATTCCAATGGAGCCCAAAGAAAAGCCACAGAGCAAGCAAACACATGTCCTCACGGCATCTGCAGGAGCAGGAGCCTCTTGGCGCCCAGCCGTGCGGAGCACCCCCACCCCGCCCGACACTCACCAATGGCCCGGCGGAAGTTCTCCATCAGCACCTCGGTCTTCTTGATCTCAGTCGAGTAGACCTCACTGCCCACCATGGGGCAGAAGGGAACCTTACTGCCCAGCTCCTGAGCGATGGCCAGAGCTAAGGCCGTCTGGAAAGGCGAGAGTGGAAAGGCACAGGTTTAGTCATCAGGAAACGTACTAGGAACAACTGCAGTCAGGAGGAGCCGCGGCCCAGTCCTGCTAGTTAGTGTCAGAGACTGGCTGGCGATTTTGTGTACACAGTCAATTTATACTGTAATTGGCATCTTCAGTACCCCAAAACTTACAAGTTGTCACTAGCTGAGCCTTACTTCTAGCGTTCCTGTGACCCTCACATCCTACGTAGATGCCACCCCCTTTGCTCCCTATTTGCAGAGGAGGGAGCTGACGCAGGTGGAGCAGCGCCGCCGGGAGACTCCAGAGATCTGCGCTGCCAACAGCGCTCCAGAGCTGGGGCTCCGGCGCTCGGCCTCAGATCACAGCTCAGTCTCAAAGCATGACCCGGGCTCTCTGAGATGCCGCGTTAGTGTTGGTTGTTTTGTTTTGTTTTTCTTTCAGGTGGGCCCTGAACTCTGGGCCTGGGCGCTGTCCCTCAGCTCTTCAGCTCAAGCAAGGCTAGCGCTCTACCACTTGAGCCACAGCGCCACTTCCGGCTTTTACTGCTTATGTGGTACTGAGGAATCGAACCCAGGACCTCATGCATGCAAGGCAGGCACTCTAGCACTGAGCCGCCTTCCCAGCCCCTGTTGGTTTTTTACAAACACAGGAGACACGTTCTCCAAACCATTAGTAATGAATGAGTAATTGCCGGATATTCATTCTGTGTTAATTACTGAAGAATGATACATTAGGCCGAATTTTGGAGCTATAATTGGTTTAAAGAAGTCACTTAACATGCCCTACTGTGAACTACAGATTAATAGTTGGTAAGAGAATTACATCATCTGGCAGATGCAGAATAAAACCAGATGTAATCAAGGTCTGGTTAAATATCAAGCCTGAAAGCAAAGGCTTTTAAATTGGCCCAGGCTGGGAAATGCCATGGCCTTTGAATGCCGTTTTCATCTTTCCTCAACTCCGAAACAAGAACACACAGAAGGCCAATTTCCAAGACACTGGGGGAGGAGGGAGATGGAATGGGGGAGGAGGGAGATGGAATGGGGGAGGAGGGAGATGGAATGGGGGGGAGGAGGGAGATGGAATGGGGGAGGAGGGAGATGGAATGGGGGTGGAGGAGAGTGGAATGGGGGGGGAGATGGAATGGGGGGGAGGGAGATGGAATGGGGGAGGAGGGAGATGGAATGGGGGAGGAGGGAGATGGAATGGGGGGAGGAGGGAGATGGAATGGGGGAGGAGGGAGATGGAATGGGGGGGAGGGAGATGGAATGGGGGTGGAGGGAGATGGAATGGGGGGGAGGGAGATGGAATGGGGGGGAGGAGGGAGATGGAATGGGGGGTGGAGGGAGATGGAATGGGGGGGAGGGAGATGGAATGGGAGGGAGGAGGGAGATGGAATGGGGGGAGGAGGGAGATGGAATGGGGGGGAAGGAGATGGAATGGGGGGGGTGGAGAGAGATGGAATGGGGGGGTGGAGGGAGATGGAATGGGGGGGAGGAGGGAGATGGAATGGGGGGGGTGGAGGGAGATGGAATGGGGGTGGAGGGAGATGGAATGGGGGAGGAGGGAGATGGATGGGGGTGGAGGGAGATGGAATGGGGGGGAGGCAGATGGAATGGGGGGAGGGAGATGGAATGGGGGGGAGGAGGGAGATGGAATGGGGGTGGAGGGAGATGGGAAATGGGGGGGAGGAGGGAGATGGAATGGGGAGGAGGGAGATGGAATGGGGGTGGAGGGAGATGGAATGGGGGGAGGAGGGAGATGGAATGGGGGGGAGGGAGATGGAATGGGGGGGGGGAGAGAGATGGAATGGGGGGAGGAGGGAGATGGAATGGGGGTGGAGGGAGATGGAATGGGGGGGGGGGATGGATGGGGGAGGGAGATGCATGGGGGGGAGGGAGATGGAATGGGGGGGAGGGAGATGGAATGGGGGGAGGGAGATGGAATGTGGGGGTGGAGGGAGATGGCATGGGGGGGGAGGGAGATGGAATGGGGGGAGGAGGGAGATGGAATGGGGGTGGAGGGAGATGGAATGGGGGAGGAGGGAGATGGAATGGGGGTGGAGGGAGATGGAATGGGGGGAGGAGGGAGATGGAATGGGGGAGGGAGATGGAATGGGGGGGTGGAGATGGAATGGGGGGAGGGAGATGGAATGGGGGGGAGGGAGATGGAATGGGGGAGAGAGGGAGATGGAAGTGGGGGGAGAGGGAGATGGAATGGGGGGGGAGGGAGATGGAATGGGGGGAGGAGATGGCATGGGGGGGAGGGAGATGGAATGGGGGGGGTGGAGGGAGATGGAATGGGGGGGAGGGAGATGGAATGGGGGGGAGGGAGATGGAATGGGGGTGGAGGGAGATGGAATGGGGGGAGGAGGGAGATGGAATGGGAGGGGGAGGGAGATGGAATGGGGGGGAGGGAGATGGAATGGGAGGAGGAGGGAGATGGAATGGGGGGGAGGAGATGGAATGGGGGGGAGGGAGATGGAAGGGGGGTGTGGAGGGAGATGGAATGGGGGGGAGGGAGATGGAATGGGGGGGAGGGAGATGGAATGGGGGGGAGGGAGATGGAATGGGGGGGAGGGAGATGGATGGGGGTGGAGGGAGTGGATGGGGGGGGAGGGAGATGGAATGGGGGGGAGGGAGATGGAATGGGGGGGAGGGAGATGGAATGGGGGGTGGAGGGAGATGGAATGGGGGGGAGGGAGATGGAATGGGGGGGAGGGAGATGGAATGGGGGGGAGGAGATGGAATGGGGGGGAGGGAGATGGAATGGGGGGGGGGAGATGGGATAATGGGGGGGAGGGGATGGAATGGGGGGGGAGATGGCCTGGGGGGGGGAGGGAGATGGAATGGGGGGGGAGGGAGATGGAATGGGGGAGGAGGGAGATGGATTGGGGGGGAGGGAGATGGAATGGGGGGTGAGGGAGATGGAAGGGGGGAGGATGGAGGGGGGAGGGTGGGGGGGGGAGGGAGAGGGAATGGGGGGGAGGGAGGGGATGAAGGGGGAGGAGGGAGATGGAAGGGGGGGTGGAGGGAGATGGAATGGGGGGGAGAGGAAGGGAGATGGAATGGGGGGAGGAGGGAGATGGAATGGTGGGGAGGGAGATGGAATGGGGGAGGGAGGGAGATGGAATGGGGGGGAGGTGAGGAGATGGAGGGGCTGGAATGGGAGGGAGATGGATGGGGGGAGGAGTGGAATGGGGGGGGGAGGGAGATGGAATGGGGGGGAGGAGAGTGGAATGGGGGGGGAGGGAGATGGAATGGAGGGGGAGGGAGGAGAGGAATGGGGGGAAGGAGTGGAATGGGGGGCGAGGGAGTGGAATGGGGGAGAGGGAGGAGGGAATGGGGGGAGGAGGGAGATGGTATGGGGGGGTGG